TGCTACAAGATCCTTTTGCATACTTTCAGAGATTAAGGCACCCCACCTGTTTTCATGGCCCCTGGTGTATTCCAAACTTGTAAGCTAAAAAACAAACAAACATTTTTTTAATTAGACTACCTATAGCCCTATATAAAGCTTTGATATGCAGTGGAAAGAATACAGCTGTGCATGTCCTCAAATGAGATAAGAAGAATCCACTGCACTATATCAAAAAGGCAATGAAAGTACTTTCTGGTTTTATTGTGTTTTGTTCTGAAAGTGTGCCAGTAAATGTGTAAGAACTGGTAAGTATACCCAGCCTATCATGGCTGTGTAACAGGGAGAACTTATTAAAAGTGAGTTGTGTTATATTCAGAGAAAAATGCCATTTCCATGACTATAACAAGATATCATCTGAATTTGTCTGTAGAAAACATGAAATGCTGGAAGGATTGGCGGGGTGTGTGTGCTTCCAAGTTGCCTGTTGACTTAGGCCAACCCCACAAAATTCATACCATATTCCCTGCCTTCTATTGAATATAGCTTAATTAATTAATATCCTGCCTTTCTCCCATCTCTAATATCCCTTGGTACTAACAAGGTACTATCCCTTGGTACCCCTTCCAAGTACTAACAGGCCTGATCCAGATTTGGGGGGTTGCAGACTGCCATAAATAGTGCAAATTGAGTCCACTTTTAGGGTTAGGGTTAGTGCTAGGGAATCATGGGAATTGTTTTTTTTTTTTCTGAGACACTGAGCCTTCTCTGTCAGAGCGCTCTGGTGCCACAATAAAATACAGTTCCCATGATTCTCTAACCCTAACCCTAACCCTAACCCTAACCCTAACCCTAACCCTAGCCCTAACCCTAAAAGTGGATTCAATTTGCACTATTTATGGCAGTCTGCAACCCCCTTTAGTTTCCAAGATTAGATGGGATCTGGTTGCCTTCAGATTATTTAGATTAGACAGAAGTATTTTAATGTTGTACCATAGCTACATTCCACCAATGTATCTTTGGTATAATTTTTACATCTTACCATACAGGATTCTTGCCATACTGAAACCTGCAAGGTTCAAAATCATGAAAGATCAGTTGTACCTGATTGAAATCTTTAGTAGTGACCCAGAGACATTAGCTTGTATTTTCATCTACTACATATCCTAGAAAACTAAAGCAGCTTACTTTCCTCTGAAACAGTATCAGTTTAATTCTTATACCATGCTTGAATGTCAGCAGTTTTGCTTCATTGTTAGAACTTGAAATGCTACTTTGCAAGAGTTATAGTTATACGTCTAAGCCCATAGAATTCAAAAGTAATGAAAATAATTACTTTTGAGTGAAGTTTTTTTTTAAAAAGCATTGTGAGGCACAACATGAAAAATTGCATCTGTTTTTCCAGTTCTCAAAAGTAATGAAAATGTTGATATTTTACTCAGGTTTCTTTTTTTAAATGCCTTATGAGGCACAGCATGAATCAGCCCTTGCACCATGTGAAAATGCTCCTCCATTTAGTGATCTACTGCACTATAACAACAAAAGTACTTTTAAACATCACATTGACAACAGAAAAGGCATGAGGTTATCCCCTGCTAAGATATAATACTAAGTGGCAAACGTAATGCAATATTTTCATTATTGGGGATAGGAACTAATTACACATAAAATTTGTTGTGAATTGAACTACTTCCCAGTGCTCCATATTGTGTAAATATATGTGTAAATGAAATAGGGTTTTGCCCAGTTTAGGTTGTCAAACTGACCATCTCTTTGAGCAAAAGAGGGCAAGACTCCTGCACCTTTAATAGTAGTGTGGAAGAAGGGATTTCAGCAGAGGTATCTTGTACGACAAGCTTTGTTGTTACTATTGTTGCATGCCTTCAAGTCATTTCCAATTTATGGTGACCCTAAAGCAAACCTATAATGAGATTTCTTGGCAAGATTTGTTCAGAGGAGGTTTGCCATTGCCTTTCCCCAAGGCTGAGAGCATGTGACTTGCCCAAGGTTACCCAGTGGGTTTTATGGCCAAACTGGGAATTGAACCCTTATCTCCAGAGTTGTAGTCCAGTACTCAAACCACTATGCCATGCTGGTTCTCTGTATGACATGCTGTCCCTGCTGAAATTATTAAAGGTGCAGGAGCCCTGTCTTTTACGCATGTCTGCCTTGTGCTCCAGTATTGTGCTTTATTGTTTTGGCTGCCCTATTTTCATTCTCCATCACCAAGAACAAGTGTTTTTCATCTGATGTATTGACATGAGCTAATACTTAACCATTTTGAAAACAAAACACAAGTTTTAACTGCTTTTCCTTAAATGGCACTGCATTAGTTTCATTTATGAATCAAAAGCCTCTTCCATTAGGATTGCTAGCTGTTTTGGGAGAAAATTTGGAACAGGACACTGTTCTCTGAACAGTGCCATGGAATTTGTAATCCTCTACCTGGAGAGTCATAAAAAGAGAGGCCAGTTTACTATCTCTGTCAAAGGTCATTGCCTTTAACAGTTGCCACTGTCTAGTATCAATTTCTTCACTATTGGACTATGTGTAGCATGCAGGGACTGGGAGATGGTTGTACAGCTGGAATGTCAATCTGTTCCTTGACAGGCACAACTGACATTTAGCCACATGTGTATCTTCTATCACAATGAAATCTCCTGCTTTTTGATATATGTTGAATATGCAAGAGATAAGCCTAGGATGAATTTGCTGGAATTAGAAACATAGGAAGCTGGCTTGCACTGGACAGACTATGGCCAGAATCCTGTTGGATTCTTATACATGTGTTAGTACCCTTAAATCTGCCACTGAACTTTTTTGGGCCATTGTTCAATGGACTGAGTTGCATAAATTGAGTTCCACAATATAACCATTTCATACACTCATCGAATCATAGAGTTGGAAGACACTGTTTACTTCAACCCCCTAAAATCAAAGTACCCTCAACAAATGGCCATCCAGTCACTGTTTAAAGACCTCCAAAGAAGGAGACTCCACTACTCTCTGAGGAAGTGTGTTCCACTGTCGAACAGCTCTCATTGCCAGGAAGTTCTTCCTAATGTTGAGGTGGAAACTCTTTTTCCTGTAGTTTGTACATGTGTTAGTATGCTCCAGCTTGTCAACATGGGACGGAATCCTGTTTTAGGATTTAATGTGACTTCCACGTGGGACTAAATCCTATTTTTCATTTTAGCTAGAATAGAGACATTGAATTGACTGGATTTACCTATGTGTTGAATCACCATTCAGCAAGGATCCCAGCCATTTAGTTGCACATTCTTGGATGCTACATACCTATTTGTCCATGCCATGAATGTATCACTTGATTCAGTGGGATTGCAGAAACAGCCACTGTGCCTTACCCATTGCCTAATAAGCAGGCACATATACAGTTGGTTGTACAGTTGAAAGGATGTCATATTGAGGATGGAGCAAGCTTTCTTTCTGTTGCTCTAGAACTAGGACATGGAGCAATAGATTTAAACTACAGGAAAAGAGAACTTCCTGACAGTCAATGCTTTTTTTATACTGCCTCAGAGTGTGGTGGAGTCTTCTTCCTTAGAGATTTTTAAACAGAAGCTAGGAGTTATAGTTCCCCAAAAGTAACTGCCAAACCATACTGCTCTCTTTTGGATCTGGTTCAAACATGGGTATTCCATTGTTTGGGAAATGCAAGGTCAAGAACATAGGCGCATTATATTTAAAACCCAATGCAGAATGTCCTTACCACCTCTTCAGTGGAATCTGTTCATACACTGAACAGCTATTCACATACTGAAATGCATAAGAAACCAAGTGTCAAGACATCAAGGAATGTATTGACAAATGAATCAGCCACAGGTATCACAAGATCTGTCAAAACTATAGCACATCTTCATTGGCTTTTGGGGACAGGAGAGGAGGTGTGCATATGCACAATTGAGTCCCATCCCATAACTCCACACTATACCAGTATCCAGTCTGCACTAGTTCCTTGACTATCTACACCGCAGACAAGAGCCAGCATGAAAAGGTGAAGGCTTCATGCTGAAGGTGTGATGTAAATGTGTGAATCTTCTACTTTTATGGGGACTATTTCTCACACACCCATTTTAAAAGCTTAACTCATGCCTCATTGCTTCCTTTTTAAGCATATCCATGCTTAAGGTTTACTCATCTGGTCTAAAAGCCCTTGTTTTGCTAATAAGAAAAGCATATAATAATATCGTTATTACTATAATAATTACAGCCTTGACTGATTCTCAAGCAGGGCGCATGTTCTGGATCATTGACTCAATTTCCACTGCATGTGTGGTGGTGCATTTATACAGCCACTTTAAATCTCTGGCACCCTTTTTCTGATGCACTAGTGTCACTGCATACATACGCATGTGCGAAAGTGCACATATTTGCCAAGGAAAAGGAAAAAAGCTGCTTTTAGGAGCAGCTTTTCCCGGCATATGGCACCTAGAGGACGCTTTCCTTCCGGCTTTTAGGCATGCGTCATTTAAACGCCGCACCTCCAAGTCAGCCTGAAAGCACCTCTTTTTGCCCATATGTACAACCTCATAGTTTTCTTTGTTGTTGTTGTTAGTTGTCCTCGAATTGGTTCTGACTCAAGGTGACCCTGTGGATGATCTCCAAGAATCCCTACCTTCCACTTCCTTGCCCAGATCCTGCATACACTTGTCCATAACCCGCCTGATAGAGTCTATCTGGTTTGTGGTCTTCTTCTCTTTCTTCTACCCTCTACCTTTCCTAGCATTATTGTTTTTTCTAGTGATCCTTTTGTTGTTGTTGTTAACTGCCTTCACATCATTTTCAACCCATGGTGATCCTATGGATGAGATATCTCCAAGCCCCCCTGTCCTCTACTGCTCTGCCCGGCTCCTGCAAACTCTTATTCATGATCTTTTTAATAAAGTTGATCCTTACCTTCTCATTATGTGGCCAAAGCATGATAGTCTCAACTTGATCATCTTTGCTTCCAAGGAGATCCCAGGTCTGATCTGTTCAAGAACCTATTTGTTTGTCTTCTTGACTATCCATGGTGTCCTAAGTACTTTTCTCAAGCACCACATTTCAAATGAGTTGATTTTCTTTTTCTCTGCTTCCTTCACTATCCAGCTCTCTCATCCATACATGGTAATTGGGAATACAATTTCCTTTCTTGTGGATTGGTATGTATATTGAGCACTTCTAGTCTGTTGGCCACCACTTTGTTTTCCATATTTGTTGCCATATTTCAGCTAGCACTAAAGTTGCATCTGTGTGTGTAGGCACTGTAACAGTTCAACTGGGATATCATCTGTTCCCGGTGATTTATTTTTTCCCATTTCTTTTATTGCAGATTCCACTTCACTTCTTAGAATTTGGGATTTGTATTCATATGGCTCCTCATTCCAAATATCATTCATTCCCTCATCTCTTTTGTATAACTCTTCTGTGTATTGCCTCCAGCATCTTTTTATTTCTTCTTGTTCCTGTATTATGTTCTTTTTTTCTCCATAGAGCATCCCTGCCCTTGGTCTGAACTTGGATTTAATTTCTCAGATTTTTTGATAGAGGTCTCTCTACTTCTCTTATTGTTGTTGTTTTCTATTTCTCTGCATTGGTCATTGTAGTATTTCTCCTTATCCCTGCATGTTAGACATTGGACAGTTGTGGTCATACTTCTGGAGTTGGACTGGATGGCCGTTGTGGTATCTTCCAACTCTATCTGGCATTGTTCTTATCTCCCTTTGCTTTTGCTTTTCTTCTTTCTTTTATTAATGAAGTGTTTCATCTGTCATCAATTGTTTCTTATCTTTCTTTTTGGGCACTTTAGACTTCACTTTTTCAGGTACGAACTACAGTGGCCCTTTGGTGGCCCTTAAAATTTGGTTCCAGGACTCCACTGTGGATACCAAAATCAGTGGATGTTCAACTCCCATTATATACAGTGGGGTAGTAAAAATGTGTCTCTTATATAAAGTAGCAAAATCATGGTTTGCTTTTTGGAATTTATATTTTTAAATAATAGTTTCAATCTTTGGATAGTTGAATCCGTGGATACAGAGGGACAACTGTATGGTAGTTGATTTTTCTTTGAAGGACAGATATTGCTTGCTAGTGCTGATTCTATGACATCATAATGTATCACTTGCGAGAGGTCATAGGTCATTATATAAAATATTTGTGCAATTTGGGAAAGGGAAAAGTTCAACCTCTTTTTTTTTTTTTTTAACATAGCCATGCATAATTCCAGGTGTCTGAGATAAGAGGATTGCAAAAGCAACCTTGCTATGTCACATCCTTAGGTAGAACACCCAGGATACCACTGAAGGGCAGACTGTTGGTTATTTAATATGTTTTATTTTAATTTATTTTATTTTGAGAGGAAATTTAGGGGGGTTGCAGACTGCCAGAAATAGTGCAAAGTGAGTCCACTTTTAGGGTTAGGGTTAGGGAATCATGGGAACTGTATGTTATTGTGGTACCAGAGCTCTCTGACAGAGAAGGCTCAATGTCTGAGGAAAAAAAAACAGTTCCCATGATCCCCTAGCACTAATCCTAACCTTAAAAGTGAACTCAATTTGCACTATTTCTGGCAGTCTGCAACCCCCCTTAGTTGTCCTCTCCAGGTGATGAAATGCTTTGTCTTATTGTATAAGTTTTTCACTCCAAATGGCAAGAAATTATCCTAGATGGCCAACCCCTGCACCTCTTCTTGAGCTAGAAAAGCTCCTTTTTTGGACTATAACTCCATGATAGCTGAGGGATTTGAGAATCTGTAATCTGAATAAGTAACTTTAAGCTCAAGTCTCCAAAAGCTCATGCTACCAACTTCTATTTTTTAGTTAGTCTCAAAGGTATTGCAAGATCCCTTTGCAGGCTGATTTTCCTTACCAATCTTGCCTTAAGCAAGGCATTTCCTGCTCTAAAATTGCCATATGAATGAATACTAAACGCTGGGAGGAATTCTATTCCTTTGAAATATCTGATGCTTCTTAACAGCCTGTTGGTGAACCCAAGCAATGACTTGAAGCAACATAAGGCCAAGATCCAAGCAAGTTTCTTCCAGGGTACTTATGGCATCATTGGAAGTATATAACAGTGACAGGGGGGTTATGGAT